AAATAAATTTGGGGGGGAAATGAAAAAAAATTGAAGTAGAAATACGAAACGACTTTTTCGACTAGCAATATAATTAGAGGACAACACAGATGGGAAGGAAAACGAAATTTACACTAGGTATACATTTAGTTGGTCTGAATATTTGATATGATTTTTCAAAATCGTATGCAACATTAAATACATATGTACATATCGTCACCTGAAATGCAAAATAACGTAACATTTTCGGAAATTTACAGTGTCATTCATGCAACACGAAACAAAATGGAACATGAGTGAAACAAAATTTTTATATTGGTTAAAACTGGTTTATATCTGACCGCAGAACCTGAAAATGTTGAACATATGTATGTAATTTGAAGTAGTGGTGCGTAATCAATAAGACACTCAATGTTGAATTTTTTGATGATACGTTATTTTGCATTTCAGCTGCCGACATATGCCATACGATCAGATATATGTATATATATATGTATGTAGTGGGATTTAGCAGTAAAACTATTTAACCATCCGATCAAATATAATCCGGGCTGGCAAAACAAAAAATATTTTAATGGAAACTTCCTGCTTTTAAGCCAAATCAGCATGCTAATGTCGGGTTCTCACATTAGGAGAGTTTCGATGACTTTAAAAACTTCACTGAACGCCTTGTGCTACTCAAACACTTGTATAGGTGATAAAGTAGACTCCCTAAAACATCCCGGACAAAACTTTTGCGTCATAAAGTAACAATAAATGACATACTGAGGTCCAACATAAAAAATGTTGTGTCAATAAATTTTTTTGTCGATTCCGTTTTCGCACGAGATTTAATTGAACTAGTCCGAGACAAATTTTTTCAGATGGACATAGTTTCTGAGCGAAAGTTTTTGCGACACACTGTATTGCAATATACATACATAAGTGGTTAAATAGCACCTATTTATAAGAATTTTTCCTTGCATCTGTTGTGTATGCATGTATGAATGCTTATAACCTTAAATCAATTTTTTGAAAATGTTAAAACATAGAGCTTATTAGACTAGAATTCGTAACCCTGAAAGACTGCAAAGAAATTGGTAGCAAAATTCGAAATAAAACCTAATTCTACAATTTCTTAACCCAACATTGTTAAAGTGAATTTATAAAAAAAGTAAAAAAAAGAAAGATACCACAACAACTAGTCACCCTGTATTATACTGCGGCAATAGCAAGTTGCAACTTGTTGCTGCTTGTCAACGACCAACATTTATGACTTCGTCCCAGTTTCCAATGTTGCAAGAACCCGCATTTGCATGTAATGAGACCGGATTACTTAGGATGTACCCCGCAACTGAATGTGCTAAATATTTTTTAAGCATTACAGTTCGAATACGACTACATAGTATAAAACCTGTAACCGTAGCAGCGGAAAGACTTCGCCATAATCCAAATATGGATGAGTATACACTTATTTATGTACAAACCAACATTCGCGCAAAAGTGGGCATTTACCAAAACCTGATCTAATTGACTGAAACCGCTTCAGTTCGTTTTTTTCTTTAAACATACTCATGCGTAGAGGGTATAAAAACATCCCTGTGGTCATGACAACTGGAGCTACTGATTTGCAAAGTCCAATCATATGCCTATACACACACGTACGTAGTTGAAAACCGAAATCATTAAACGAGGTAAACCAGCCGGCCAGTAACAGTCGCACCGTGGCAGGCATTGACCGCTGAAAGAATATCGGATTTGATCAGACCTCATTGGAGTGAAGTGAAAAACGCATAACAAAATTCAATGAGTAAAATAACAATCATGGAAAAACAAAAACTTAAAAGATTTCTTGTCGCGGCTCAAGTGCTCAGCATGCAAACAAAAAAGGAAGAACAAGCAGTATCTCTCTTACTCAGCGGCAACAATCGAGCAACCTACTCTCGGTCATTATCATTGTTGATAAAAAAAATTTAAAACTGGTTTCAATGTTCGCTAAATTGAAATTTGAAATTTTAGCGGAATTCTGCGAAATATTTTGAAAACTTTCATTGACTGCGTTGCTTTTGCGTATCAAGTAACCACAGGGATAAAACGATTTGTATTTGATTGTAAATATATATGTATGTATATATGTGCATCTGATGAGCAAATAAAATGAGCTTAACATATTGGTTGTTGACCTAGAGGAATTGAAAATGTTTAACCGACTAACTTCTTTTTTTATAATATAATACGAATTAGAGATCCAGAGCAGACAATTTGGACAAATTTTGGAGCTGCGAAATTCTCATAGCAGACTATCAAACAATAATAACTTTTACTCGTAAGGTTTATATTTATTGATATCGGTTTATTAAATATTTCAATATTACAAAGCAATTTAAAAACGTGTATCAATATGAAATATTTAAAGAATGCATGCCTTGAAAGTTAATTCACCGAATTAGGAATTTTATCCGACCTGGGTTTGTCTAATCATGGTTGTTTTAAACTGCTAATCCAAGAGCAAAAATAACATTCTTGCACTCATCATTTTCCTACACATATTTGAATAAAATCGCAACAATGAAAACGTATAAAAAAAAATTTTCAAAGTTAATTTAAAAAATTACATTTAGCTATAAAAAATACGCACACAAAGCATACATTTTCGAGTATGTTTCCATATTTCGATATGAATTCTTTGGTTAATCTATTCTTTTGTTTGTGAATTCTTCAAAATTATTGTCTATCAGAGTAAATATTTACACTTTCTTTATAAAAGGCAAAATTTAAGTTTTGAAATACCTCGTATTAAGAAAGGTGCAAAAAACACTAATAAACAATATACGTATGAGTACATAAGTACGTACATATGTATATATCGTAATCGGTAAGACGGCAAACGAAGTCAACATAACCCGGTCCATGACTGATAGGGTTGGTATTGTGGATGGAGAAACAAAACTGTTGATAGTGTCTGTGTTAACTTTACAAATTAAATATGTAAGGAAACTAAGTAAATAACTTCCTTTTACGTAACATACTCGCTTAATTCACTTTCTTACCTGATAATATGAATCCGCCATGGTATCAATCGACTTCGAATGATGTGAAAACGTTGCTTCGAGGATTATCTGTATTATAAGTTGCTTTCTTTCTTTTTTAAATGTTGAAATTTGCTACAACTTGCAAAACTAAAGCAATGAGAACACTGTTTATATAAACTACGAAACAAAAGAATAATAAAGAGTTATGCACTTTCAGATATCAAAATTGTCTTGTTAATTTTTCGGACACTGAAAACTTATTAAATTCGTTGTTTAATTATTTTTTAAGAGCTGTCAATATTTATAATTTATTTAACGTTCATGATTATGATACTTCAGGTTTAAAACAAAATAGTAAGCAATTGCGGAATTTCACAATCTTTAAAGTTCATACACACATTGACTAGTTATACGTTTCATTCATAGGCCCGACAGGAAGCTGGAATTAAAATAAAAACATTTTTCTAAATTATCACATTTCAATTGGAAGTTACAAAATATGTATGTTTTTATTTAATTAATTTTTCTTGAACATCATACTAGCATATATTCTACGTCAAAGTATCTAGTGATACAACTGCAAACGCGGGTTTCGGTAATTGATGCAAATTACATTTTACTGAGGTTTTAATTGAAATGATGAAATATGCTATGTGATGGCAATAAAAACCATTGCAATAAGAGATGATGTATGTATGTCCAATGCACAATGGGATAAGCGTTTAGGTATTATATGTATATAAATGTGTCCATATATATACAACTTTGGATATCTAATGCACCACTTTATTAAAAAATTGAAAGAACAAATAGGTAAACAGAAAACTTTGGCGCAATTGTAAAATTTACATGCAACGGTAAATTCATTTGTAATTATTTTTATTAATACTCAAGATATAATTTCTACCAAATATACTACTCTAAACATTTGTTAAAATCGAAGCAACACGATGTAAACATCTTACACATTTTAATTTTGTTCATTATCTACATATGTTTATTGGCAGGTATTAAAAGCATGTGCAATTTAGAATTACCTTTTGAACACTTTTATAACAAGACACCTGCAGTGTGTGGTTTTCACAAGTTATAAACTTCACACCAAAAAATAGATATTGAATTGAATGCATAAATGGTACATTTAAGTAATTGCAAGTTTCACACAATTTTAATGACCACACATTCAGCCAGGCTTCGTGCAGTACGGACAGTAAATGTATCCCTATTTTAGATGCAAATTACATCCTATAAATTTATAGACTACCAGAATATTAAATTTTTTTATTTTACTTGCACACCCCAGCCTCCTTTCAAAACCCGTAATGGCAAATTCTTTTCACTTCGCAATTATTTCACCTCACATTTGTATCCGAACTTTTTTACGATTGTATTTGATAAATTCAGTTTGCTTTGTCGAAACAAACTACAAAGCCGTGTTAAATTGTATAAAAGTAAACGCGAAAACTTTATTAAATTCAATCAAAAATAATAAATTTTAAATAGAAAATAAAATATTAAGCAAAGCAGCTCAACAACCGACAACCAAATTATTCTCGCTTCGTTTCGCCGCAAACGAAGGCATGCAGTGCTGCCAACAAACTAATTATCTCGATGTTACCCCTTTTTTCAAATTGGAAATATGCCTGCTACATTTGTGTGATAAATGCATTATTTGAGTAAACAAATAATTATGCTGGACACCTGAAATATATCGTTTGCCTTAAACATCTTAATTGCATTAGGCAATCATCTATACGAGAGGATTTGTAGTGCTTTATGAACTCGGAATAATTAATAATTTATTGAAGTAATGGCAACTTCCTTTCAATGCAGCGAATTGAAAAGATGCTTATTTTATATTAACCCTGAGCTGTAACGTAGAAAATATTTGAATTAAATAATTATAATTGTTTCAAAATACAAGTAACAAATGACCTGTGTTCAGAAATTGACCCTTCCAATAGTAAAGTCTCGCCAAATTAGTTTAGAAATATTTTAATAAGTTTAAGATTTATAAAGTTTTAATTACTGAATATTTATTTTTATTATTTCATTTTAAACTGCGGGTTTCTTCGGTAGGGAACCAAAAGCCGATATTACAGTACCTTTGGTTCCGGTAACTGTGGTGGTTAGTGTTGGCGGAATAGGTTTAACGGATGCTGCTGGTTGATCCCACTTTGATTTTCTAAAAATCATTTAATCATGTCATTAATAAAGTGTTAAATTTCAGATTATATATTTACCGTCTCTTAGCTTCTTCTTCGACTTTTCGAGCTAACGCCGTCGCTTGTTCTATTTTATCTGTGTCCTTGCGTTCCTTTTGTCGTTTGAGCATTCCATTTTTTTGAATACGGGCCAATTCCTCATAGTAACTTTCTGGACCCCATTGTAATGGATCATAAATTTCAGGTGGATAATTGGTGCCAAACTCATTTATGTCGCAATATTGTATCAGTTTTTCATATATACTCGGATTACGAAATTCCTTGCGTCCCTGTATAACACGATTCATGTCCATATTGGTTGTTTCCATCTTGTCATATAAATGTTTTATTTTATCAACTAATTCAACTGAAGGCTTTCCTTTGGGCTCTGGAGGTAACGAAAATCCATAGTGGGCATATTTACTCAGTTTGTCAACTTTTTTTGGTGATTTTGTGTCATTGGCCAAATCATTATTTTCGTCAACTTCCATTTGCACACTGTTTGTGGTATCTCTTGATGTTTGTGCATTACTATGAGAGCTAGTTTCATCGTTTTCACCTTCTTCTTCTGAGGGATTACTTGATTCTGATGATGTACTTTCCTCTTCATCATCATCCGATATTACTGTGTCATCCTGATAACTAACTAATCGGCGCACTGACTTCTTACGTTTTCTGCGTTTATTTTCTTTTTGTTTAGGCGACTTTTCTATTATTATTTTTTCTTCCTTTGGACTCGGTTGTTTTGGAATAATAACCTATAAGATGTGAAGAATCAAGATGAAATATACACAAATGTTTTATAGAGCGAGTTTCGTGGTTTACCTGAGATGCTTGCGAATTTGTTGAATCTGGGCTTTCTTCCTCCACTTCGCCCTCATTTTCAGAATCTGTGTACTGTGCAGTTAGGCTTTGTAAAGCTTTGCTCATTTCTAATTTTTAATGAATATTAAGTGAAATAATATATATTACTGATATTATGAGTTGAAAAAGTGTTTTCTAATGAACTGTCAAAAAATCAGCTGTCGAGCATTTATATCGCCCACCTCTGAACAACCCCTTCAATCTCACTGAACAAAACTCGTTATGACGTTTCTATACGGAGCAAGAAAAGGTTTAAAGTTAAAAAAACTGCACAGTGAAGAGAATAGTTCAATCAGTTAACGTTTTTTAGTAACTCCTAAATATTATGTCGATAATAATGATTAAATCGTAATATTCACTTATTTACATATTTCATGTGTAAATTATATTTTGGATGAGATATTGTATCAGCATATGTTTAAATTTTTGTATGTACACAATTAAAAGTCAACATCAGTAACAGCTGTATAATAAGAGGTATTCGGTAAACTTTATTGACGTTGCACTTCTTTACTACATATTTTTTGGTCTTATTTTTCAAGGAAAATATAAGTATATTCTCAATTATGATAACCTCAACTGAAGATCCCCAAAATGAGGATAGAATACAAAAACGTGTAAATAAAATACTTGAAACCAGGTTGGAAACCGATAAGGTAAGTAAGTGTAGTAGTTGCTATCTTCGCAAACAAATACATGTATAAATTTTCGTCAACAGGATACATTGGATGCTTTGAGTAATCTCTCTAATTTCTTCGTTGAAAACACTTTACAAAATAGGCGAAATCTACGCAGTGAAATCGAACGACGCACTGTTGGCATAAATGAGAGTTTTCTCCAAGCTTTTCGGGAAGTAAAAAATACCCTTGACACAGTATGCGAAGACTTAGACGCTATGGCTAAATCGGTACAGACTATGAAATGCAATTTGGAATCTTCTAAAGCGTTAACACATGACTTGATTAGTCAAACTAATTCGTTGCAAACTGAACGTGAACATCTACAAGTGGACCAACAAATAGCAGAAGCTTTTCTTGCGCGCTTCCAACTAACTGTGCCGGAACATCAAATTTTATATGGCACCACAAAAGATGCACAAATCGTTCCTGAATTTTTCACTGTCCTCAACCGCGTACAAAGCATTCATGCCGATTGCCGCGTACTAATGCAATGTGGCTATCAAACAGCTGCTTTAGAAATTATGGAAGAGATGACGTTACATCAAGAGGGCGCCTTTGAACGACTATATCGATGGACCCAGAATCATTGCCGAAATTTGGAAAATAATGAAATCGGCTCTTTAGTCATTGAGGCTATGAACAGACTCCAAGATCGACCAGTTCTTTTCAAGTATGCATACTATAAGTTTTAAAAGAGATTATAATACTAAAGTTACACTTATTTTTGCCTTCAGATATGTAGTTGATGAATACGCTATTGTTCGGCGGGCCGTGCTGGTTCGACTATTTATCGAAGCTTTGACCGAAGGTGGCGCAAATGGCACTCTAAAGCCTATTGAATTACATGCCCATGATCCAAAACGTTATATAGGCGACATGTTTGCCTGGTTGCATCAGGCGATACCGAACGAGAAAGAAAATTTATCGCTGCTCCTAAAAAAATGTGATAAAAATGGTAGTGACAATCGTGCAATTCTTCTTTAATCTATATAAAATGAAATGATTTTTCCATTTACTGCAGATTTATCGGAGCAAACGCAAACCGCGCTAGCCTACATAGCCGATGGTGTATGCCACCCCTTAAAAGTGCGTGTGGAAACAATACTGACATCAGAAAAGGACACCATTGTTTTGTTTGCGATTTCCAACCTGCTCCGATTTTACCAGCAAATTATCAAACAGGTTAATTCCCTGACTCATACTTTTTTTTTTGTTTTTAATATTACCATTTTTTAACGCTCGTTTAGGTCGTTAAAGGTGGAACACTGGAGCAAACGCTAATTGATTTGCAAAAGTCTAGTGAAGATATATATTTGAATTCTCTTTCCAATCAAGTCCGCAGTATTTTACAAAGACCAGCTAGTGCCAGCTTGGGCATTGAACCTCCGCAGCGAGATTTGGTGCCACCAATGAGTGTGGGCCGGTTACTAAATATGCTCAAAGAAATACTATCGGTAGCGACCATGGTTGATGGTCGGCAAACTGATATTACGAAGATCGTATCCTGCGTAATCGATCCTTTGTTGCAATCCGTGCAAGAGTCTGCCTCACACTTGCCAACAATCGACATGGCTGTATACCTATTAAATTGCCTCTATCACATGCAAAGTTCCCTCGCAGTATATGAATACATGGACGAGCGTGTAGAGCGCCTGCAGGCACAATCAGATGCTCAAATTGACACACTAATTTCGGAACAAGCATCATCCCTGGTAGCGAATTTAAATTTGGGTCCCATCTACACCATACTACAGAGTAACCAAACTAAGATTGAGACAAATCTTTTGAAAATATTCATGAACAAAATGGATGCTTTCTTGGAAATGCCAGAGATGCTGCTTCTGCCGCAAGTGCAATTGCTAATGTCCAGTGCGCATCGTAATACAGTACGCAAGCGAGCTTTCAATGTAATCGTTGCCATATACAAGCAAATCTATGACCGTGTTCATGATCCAGCCAATGGGTTTGAGAACCCAGATGCTGTTTTTAATAAAACTCCCGATCAGGTTGGAAAGATATTGGCTGTTTAGTGTATTTCTATAGTACCGCTTAATTATTAAATATTATTAATACTTAAACAATATTAATATAAAAAACTAGGTAATACTTTTCAATTATGAGTTTTACTGAATACAACGGCTTAATCTTCCTGTGTTTACTTTGACACTGCTGTTATTCAAAGTAAATCACAAGCTCATATATGTACGTGCAGCCATGCAAGAGCATATAACATACAAATGTAGATTAATTATACTTTCACGTATGGACATATGTACATATATAAAAACAAGTACGTATGTAAATCGTTTGTAATTGGCACACGCCTTCATGTCGGTCGCCAAGATTGAGTCAACTCAATTTCTTTTATTGTCGCTCTTTTATTATTTTGTTATTGTGATTTTCCTTTGGGCTACTGCGGACAACAATGGCGCAAATAAGAATCGAATGACGAAACGAAGGCGAACGCAAAAGTGCTGCCGAAATAAAGAGGCTGTGTGTAGCCGTCCCTTAACTATTAGTATAATTGTTACTTTGTTAGCCGCCGCCGGTCCATAACGTGCTCGATAAAATTCTTCGCATTCGCGACACGTTCTTATCATTGCAGAAAAGAAGATAAACATTAAACTAGAGGAATTTGTGTTGGTTTTGCGCTCCTCAAAAATGAATAATAAGAGAATGATTGCGCAAACCTAATTGAGTTTTAATGATCTCGTGTAAGTAAAAAACATGAAGTGTCTAAGCAAACAATGTTTTTTTAAGAATTCTTTATATTTAAAGTATGTACAAACAGCTTCTTATTTTTGACTGCTGATGACGTGCTAATATCTATTTTTAAACAGTTTTTTTTTTTATATGTTAACTGAAATGTTGTTTTGCGCGATAAAAAGAGGAAGTGTGATTTTTGATTGTTTATAGGCGCCCCAAGTGAAATTCAGAATGTTATGTGTTTGCCTAGGAAATTATTTAAACCTCCCTAGCCAGTTCGCGCTGTGTTTGTGTGTTGGAGTTCATTAATAGTTGAAGCAAAAGAAATAAAGTTAGACTATCTTACGAAGATAATCCACCTTAATGATTCGTTTTGAGAACCAAATATCACGTTTGGACACGAGCATCTAGCTTAGCTTTAGCCAAACAAATTATTATTAAATACACGTAAGATCCAATACATAGCAACAAATAAATTGCCGAAAAATAATTACATATATATTAATGTCTGCACGTATGTATGTAAGTTATATTGGATCATTGATGTTTGACACCTTGTAACCTGGGCTCCTCCGTTTTGATGGCAGTTCAATGGCAAGCGCATTACGACATAGTCATGGTGGATCGTTGGAATAGTTCGAGCGTTAAAGCACTCAAAAATGCCGGTAAGGATTTATTTCCCACTAATTGGCTCTCTATAAATGGCTTCAGGGTAATTGAATAGGGAGTCTCGAGCATGTCTAAAGCATTATTCGATTCATTCAAGCGGAAGTTGAGATAATCATCAGGGCTTTCTGCATACATACTCGATAGCCTAAATTAAAAAAAAAAAAACAAATGTAAGTCATAAAATAAACCATTAGAATCAAATAAATTATGTTCAGAATCATTCATAAAGTTTTCGTCACTCACTTGTAGTTTGTGTTCAGCCCCAATCTGTCAACTCGATAGCCAAAGAGTAAATAACAAACTTCCCGAAATTCCATACTTGCGGACTTGTAGCACTCCTTCATCTTCTTCATTTTAGAATTGGTAGCTTCAAGTTCGGCGCGCAATTGATTCATTTCTTTGATATTAATGGTCATGTTTGTTGTGTCATTCATACGCGCCTGTGTGACTTCATTGTCTTCCTCTAATTTCTTATTACGCCGCTTTAAGCGTTCGATCTGAATTTCATTTTTAAGAATTAAACTAAGAGTAGTAAATAATCAAATACTATTTATATTTACCTCTGCCTGTAATTTTTCAATTAAATTATTGGAGTTTTCGTATGCCTCAGCCGCGGGGTTTTGCGCCAAGTGCACCACTTTGAATTTGCCCACATTGAAGTCTCCTTTCAAGCAACGATGCTCCAGTTCTAATTCCAATTCCTCTTTACGACGTCGCAAACGCTCATTTTCTAATCTCATCGTATCCAATTCTTTCTTAATGTGTTCATAGGTTTCAGTGCTGATGACATTTTCAATGGACTGATCGGCAACGGGTAGTTGTTTTGCGTTGGTCAACTCTTTTTCCAAATTGTTGCACATGTCTTTGTAGCCTACCAAAGTCTTTTCTAGCATATCTAATCTTGAACGCAATTGTACATCGCCATTACCACTATCTGCAGCATGATTAGCGTTGGAGACTGAAACATTTTAATATATTTAATTTTGTATTTGGTATATTGAATATTATTCTTACATGTGAGATCCTTTTCGAAATTTTCCAGCAGTTGTTTGTAACAGTCACGTTCTTTAGATACCAAAAACAATTTGCGCTGTATGCGTTCCTTGAAATTTTTATGCCTTTTCAGCGCCACGTTGAGTTCTTCTATGTTCTTAACATATATTTCACATTTCTAGAAGTATAAAATTCGTTGAGTTAGTAAATCTTTAGAATGGGATGTTATAAAATCACGCCTTATGTACCTGTTTATAATCCAACAAATCCGATTTGATGGACTTGGTTTCAGATTGCGTGTTTCGTTTTTCGCTTATCATTATTATGTCATTTTGTAGTAACTGCTCAATTCGTGATCGCAGAGCCATCGGGCTGACCAGCATGTTAGGCAGACAATGGTCCTGTGCAACTTTGATCCAGTCTTTGAGTTCTTGTTCCATATGTGAGAGTTTTACTTGGAGAGCCACGGCTTCATTGCGGCCACCCTCCTCACGTGCTAAACGATTCTTTAAATCATGCACTTGCTCCTCTAATAACAGTTTGTTACCAAGCAACTCCTGTAGATTTTTGTTATTTGTGCGTAAACGTTCGAGTTCTTTGTCCATGTCTGGTATGCTCAATAAACGGGTTTGTGATTTCTAACGTAAAAAAAAAAAAAGCTGTTATAATAATTTGAAATCAACATTTTGTTATTATTACCTTTGTTATTTCTTTCCAATCTTCATAAGACGCTATTTGGTACTCCAGTTCTTTAATGCGTGAGTTGGCCACTTCCAGTTCTTGCTGTTCTTTTTCGTGTTCGATTTTGAGAGTTTCGTAAGACGATGAATGTTGTTTGTACTCGTTGAGTACGCTTTTTAAATTGGTCATTTCATCGGTTAATAATTGCAGCTCCTAAAAATTATTTTTTTATTTTATTTTTATTTTGGTTGAATATGGTAAGTATAATATTTACCATTTCTAGTTTATCTACATGTCGGCGGTATTCGCTTAATTCATTCTCCATGCTATTTTGCATTTGCCGTGAGTGATCTTCAATTTCTAATTTATCTCGTTGAAGTTTATGCAATTCCTCCTCATATCGATGTTTTAGTTGTGTCAGTTCTCGCTGAGTTCGCAAAAGCTCTTGTTTGGCCCCATGTTCACGTTTGCGCACAACTTGTAAGTGTTTCTCGACGTCCTGAACTTTATTAGCAGAGAAGTCACACTGTTTCTTCAACTCCGTTACTTTACTCTCATAAAGCGTTTCTACTTCGGCTCTCAGTTTGTGTTGCCGCTCAATTTCTGTCTTTAACTTAGAAATCTATTGAAAATGTAAATAAAATAATTAGAATTATACAAACTTATAAAAGGCGATAAGCAATCTTACCCGCGACTTGGCTTCAATTAAATCAGCTTTAATTCTACGTGTTTCCCAAGGACTCGGTGGAATGCTGGTTACAGAGGAATTGCTATTGTCACAACTGGTATTGGAGGTATCGTGGCGTCGTTTCTTGGGTACTGTAATGAACTATTTTATAAATATATCCCAAAATATAAAGTAATATAGTTTCACTCACAAGTACCAGAATCATTAAAGGAATCGGTTAGATATTCGAAACTAAGCTTTTTTGGCGCTGAATGGGTCATACTATCATTGAATTTTTCCATTATTTTATCAAAATTTGACTTAATGTTCTCCATTTTGGCAACTGCGGTTTAATTTACGCTATCCACAGAAGTTTTTTCTTTATATATGGTTCACTTTTACGATCAGTTGTATTTATGTTTTGTATAAATTGAAAAAGTATATGAGCGTATTTTAGTATTTTTTTTTTTTTTTGGAAACAATCGCAATAAATTGAACAAAACACCAAAACTATTCACAAATTTTAGACAAGCCGCTTTACGTTCTTGCTTCTGTTAAATGTCTATTCGCTTGTGTAGTAAAATCTGACATTTCTTTTATGTTGACATTCGTGCTTATGCCGTTCATACACGTCCGCCCCAGAGAACGTATAATATATAATAAACGTTCTCTGTTCGTTGTGCTATTTTGATACATTCTCTGTTAGAAATATACGGAGAAGTAATTTGATATTTTCTTCGTACACATTTTATGTAGCTTGAACGATTAAGGCTAATTTAAAACAATTTTGAATTTATTTCTTTAACATCATAGTTAAAAAATAACTGTAGTTTCAAGAAAATCAAAATATGGCAACATTAATGCTCTAGTTAACCGCAGAACGTATATCATAATTTACGTTCTCTGATAACATTTATTACCACGGCAGAGGATGTTTATTACATTTATGTTTTCTGAGTTAACAAATGATTTTGCTCGGTTTGCCTGTGGTTTGCCTCATAAATAATAAAACTTTGGTTATGTGCTTGTGAAAATTTTTAAATAGTGTTGATATTATAAAATGGCAACTAATTCCAAGAATGTTGCAAAGGAATTGGCAGACTTAAGTGAGGAAATTCGGAGTCTCCGTCTAAAATTGGCAGATAAAACACGCCAACTTGAAAATTTGCAGGTAATCCAACGTGCAAATCCGGCAGATAATTTGGCCAGCGAAGGATCGGCTGATCGTATTTTCACACCTAGAATTAATGATTTAACAAATGATGAAATAGAGCGTTACAGCCGCCAACTGATACTCCCTGGTTTTGGCGTTACTGCACAATCAAAGCTGATAAACTCGTCATTTCTTATTGTAGGAATGGGCGGACTAGGTTGTCCAGCTGCGCAGTACCTCATTGCCGCCGGAAGTGGTCGCTTGGGCTTAGTTGACTACGATACAGTTGATCGGACCAATTTACATAGACAAACATTACACACTGAGGGTACAATTGGTTTACCGAAAGTAGAATCAGCTAAACGTGCTTTGGAACAAGTTAATCCCAATTGCCAAATAGATCTGCACAAACTTATGTTGGACAGCAGAGTCGCGCTTGATATTATTAAGCGGTATGATGTGATTTTGGATTGTACAGATAATGTTGTAACGCGCTACTTGCTAAATGATGCATGCGTACTTTTAAATAAGCCTCTTGTGTCGGGCAGTGCCTTGCAATTCGATGGCCAGTTAACGGTTTACCATTATGGGGATACATGTCCCTGCTACAGATGTCTGTTTCCAGTGCCACCTCCTCCACATGCCGTAACAAACTGCGGAGACGGTGGTGTGATGGGTGCTATCACTGGAGTAATTGGTTCTATGCAGGCGTTGGAAGCAATTAAAGTTGCCACTGGTGTGGGTGAAACATTTGCCGGAAAACTACTAATATTCGATGGTATGAATAGTATGTTTAGAAATATAAAGTTACGTGGTAAAAATAGAGATTGCAAAGTATGCTCAGAGAATCCAATGATTACTCAACTAATCGACTATGAACAGTTCTGCAGCATGCACGCTTCTGACGATAATCAACCGCTTCAACTGATTCCATCAGAAGAACGTATAGATGTGTTTCAGTATATCCATATGCGATCACAACCTCATCTTCTAATGGATGTAAGACCACAAAATGAGTTTGAGATCTGTCGTCTGCCGTCGTCAGTTAATGTGCCTCTAAAGGAAATTTTAGACAATAAATTTATTGAACGATTTGCTAGTGAATTAGTTGACGACAAATTGCCTATAATTGTTCTTTGCCGAAGAGGAAACGACTCCCAAATAGCCGTTCAACACATGTGCAAAAAGTTTCCATCTCATGCGATACGTGATATTATTGGTGGCCTTTACGCTTGGCATTACAAAATTGATAAAGATTTTCCAATATATTAATACTATTATTAAGCATATTTGTATACTACTCTTATTATTTGTACGTTATTAAACGTAAAATGGTGGCGCGAATGTTTGAGATAATATATTATAATAAATATTTGTTATTGTGAAAAAATAAAAACATATATGAATATGTATATTATTTTCCACAGAAGGCCAATAATAAAAGTGTACTTAGTTTTTACCCCCCTATATACCTCTTTCGGCTTTGGTATCAATGTTGTGAGTCGAATTACCATAGCAAATGCCCTCTATGATAATATATAAATTTATATAATATGTATGTATATATACACACTTATAGGTCACTTGTGGATGTAAGCGTATGCCTCCGCAGCGAAAGTGTAGAAAAGTCGCTACATAGTTGCATAATATCAATTTTAGGAAATCCCCATTAAGTCATTCTGCAGTGTTAGCTTATTACCATTAGTTTGCTGTTCTCATTGCTGCTTGTTTAAAAATTCCATAAACTATGAGTAGTTGTTAGTTGAAGTTACAAAAACAATTGCGTGCTAATAACTCCTGAACATAAACAAACGCTTTTGGGGCAGCAAATTATCAACTAACAAACACAGTGAAGTTCGAAAGGTCGCAATTATGAGTGGGAATACGCTTAAGTTGAGTGATTTAGGTTGCTTTTGTAAGCGCATGCGAGTGTGTGTGGTGGCGATTGTGAATTTTGTTGACTTGCAGAAACCTATCGTAATTTCCCATCAACCATTCTAAAGTCATTTTTATTGTTAAACTTACTTTTTCTTCTGAATAGTAGCTCACTTAAGCAAAATACTCAAATTTTTTTGGAATGAAATGAATCGCGTTGGATCACCGTTTGGCGAAAAGTCAAAACTATACTAAAAAATGTGGAGAGTTCGCGTTTGTTGTTTATACATTTTTGTACGTTCCTTCATTTGAATTACTCATCTATATGTATATGAATGTATTCAAAAGCACATGCATACATAGATGTACATATATGTAATTAATTTATTTGTAAATAATAGTGAACGTACTTGCCGGGACTATTGCCGTTCAATCAACCATGTCTCAACTTTCATTATGTTTTTAGCAGAACAAGTGAATTATTCTCTATTGCAGTCAACTAGTGGAAGTTTCATTTAAGTACTTAACAGTTTCAGTGACAAGTTCCTAGGACTTCAGTGCAGAGATTTAATACTTCAAATGAAATTCGTTCGCACTGTGCTGATGAGTGGCTATAATACAACAACAATATTACAGATTTTAAATTGAGCATATTTATCGTATATTTCGGGTTTAAAATTGTAAGTCAATTTATTTCTAAGAAAAGTTTATTTTAAAAAAATAAATAATACTAATAATTACAACTCTTATTTTGCTGTTTTGAAAATTTTAAAGGAATTATAATTGTATACCGCCAACTTGTAATATACATAGTGAAATTTTTATTAAATTAATTTAGGCTTCCCGCTAGTCTCTTATCTAAATTATAATTAATTCCGTCTCGCTCGTTGACTTTATACCGAAGATGCCAGTTAGTGCTGGATATATGTACTTCTTTAAATTTATGTGAGAGTATTTCGCTTATAATAACGTGATACGAAACCAAAATTAAATTTTCACCCAGTCATTTTATTTCTGTGACTTGGGGATATAAAACGGGATATCTTAATGAAAGTTAGCTTAATTTCTACACACACGCCCTTTATTTGTTTTTTAATCTATTTTTACGTGTTGAAAATATCTTATTTTTTCGAAAATAAGGTAAATTTTATAAATTATATAGAAGCATTAAAAAGAGCTTACTATATGGTATGTTGCCCCAGGCGCCGTATTCGAGTACGACTAATTAGTAGGTTCCAATTTGAACCTAAGTAAATCGTAAAATTATAGGAAAGTATTTCTTGTGTGATCGCTTTCCCACCACCCAACTTTCATTTGCATTCTTCATTATTCTTCATTATCTTCAGAGACAAACAGTTTTGAATATAAGTATATAAATACTATATATCGAAAGAAACATCTTCATTTGGTGTTAAGGTTGTCATAACGTATGAGTCACCTGAGCCGTTCTACTCGTTACTCATACGCCTGGTTGGACCATTGAACAGAGTATATTAAGTTTGCCATAATGTTTGTAATATCCAGAAAAAAACGTTTAAAAACGTAGAAAAAATATATATACTCTATAATCAACGTAGCGTCTGTGTCGTAGCTGCAATAAAAACTAAACGATCGAAATCAAGCCCTTATTGTTTAAGGCTGGGCAGATATTTTTCAGATCGAAACATTGTGGCGTACAAACTAACCAATTGATATGAAGTTCTTCCCACAACAGTCGGGGCTGCGTAACCGAACTCCGTAAAAAATTCCGCCTCCTCGTCGCAATCTACACAGGGCACTGTAAGCTCAGGAAGCACCTGTCCAACATGGGCATGGTCTCCTGTGCAAACTGCCGATTCTGCGACCTGGAACAGGAAACACCAGCACACCTAATCCTGGCTTGCTCAGCAATCTGCGGAAAAAGGCTTAAGGCCCTGGATTCTGCTTACATCAGCAGGGATCACATCACCTTACTAGCGCCCGGCAAACTCCTAGAACTATTCAGGCTGCTGGGGCTCTGGGAGGTCATGTGATGTAGGAGAGGGCACAATAGACCTTACGTCGCGGTGCATTACCTCAAATAACATTCTATTCTATTCTAACCGAAGCGGATCCGGATTTCTGGCCAAGGACTGTCAACTCGGTAGACTTCTGCCGCTAAAATAACAACAACAAGTTCTTTTACGTAATCTTTTGCATATAAGAAAGGTACTATAGCTTCGGTTCTTTCCTTGTTTTTAATAAAGAGAGCTAAATGTAATGAAATATATGCCAAATTTAATTGCTATCCGTTACATAACTGTGCCAGCCATAAATGGTGTCTTTAGC